GTGAGAACTACAAAAACTAAAATTAACTAGGCCAAAAACTTAAAAACATTTCATTGGATTTTACGTAATTACCTTGAAATATCATCATCACTTGCAACACTGGAATTATCAGTTTCATCTTCATTTTCATCTTCTTCACTATCACTTGAGTCAGAGCTTGTACTCCCTTCGCTGTCACTTTCGTTGCCCAGTAGTGATAAATAATCTCCTATGCTGTGTTGTAAACATTGAACATTATACCCTATATTCAAGCCTGATTCAACCTACATATAAATTGACTGAATTTCAAGCCACCCAAAGGTTTTTATCATGTCATCAGAGTACAACAACAATGTGTTATTCCAGTACAAAAGTTCAGCGCAATTTCAAAATTGCACTATTGGGAACTGTAAAAACAAGAAAATACCAAGACAAAATGACAAACCTGTGAGTATCCTCATGTAATGGAATATCCTCGCTATCCGAGTCATCTGACTGAAATGTGGTATCTGGTGGGATCACCACAGAACCATTTACAATAGTGCAGTCATTCCTTCCCACTGAAGAAGTCCCAGTTACATCCACCACACTGTAAATCCATGAAAAGAGAAAGGAAAAGCTTTTTATTATAGTAAAGGTCTCTTGATAATACCTTTATATAAGAGCATACACAACTTATAAAATTGAGCCATTGGTCCAGTTTTGAGAAAGGTAGATAAAGTTATCCACTACACATCCTGTGTTTCAGAGGTTGGATTTTCTCTTCCTTAGTTTGCTTACAGCGCAAAGCACCAGTTTTAAGGCAAACACCGGTTTTAAAGTCACAAATAAACTTTAAGAAAAATTTAATCCAGCCTCTGGAAACCAGGGTGCACTGGATAAAGTTATCAATTCCATATTATTTTATATGTTTTTTTGCCGAATAACGATGAATTCAGTGGATAGTACTATTTCCCCCCCTTAGCATATCACAGTCAAACTATGCTCCCACTCTCAATATTGTTCTTTCAGGGGCCATTGCATAAGAAATTAGAGAACGTTTGAATTATAATTTTTTATGAACTAACCTTTCAGTGTCAACCATCACAGCTGTGCACTCTTGCTGGTTTGTGCTGGAACCAGTTACATCAACAACACTAGAAACCAATAACCACAAAGATCAAGTAACCAACACTTTGGACTTTAGTCTTAGGCATTAGTTTACATTATAAGTAGCTGTCCGTGGAGTAGTACCACTTGTCAATGAATTATAATAATAACAATTTCACAACAGTTCGAACTAACATTACCTATCATTTTGCTGCACACTTATCGGCGAAAAAGGCACCACATCTTCTGCCGAGGAGAATAATGTCCGTTTCTGGGGAGTTGAGGTTACCAGATCTGGGATTTCATAGGACAGAAATCAATGTAGAATAACAGCTCGAACATGTGAAGCTTACTACCGAATACAAATGTAAACAACACCACGAAGAAAAACCTCACCTGTACTTTTTCCTGTTCGTGTACGTTTACGCGAAGGTTCAAGGGATTTAAGCGTGTCTTCTACTCTAAAATGTATAAAAACGTTTACAAAAGTGAGCTATGCGTACATACCATGCTCAGAGGATCATTTCACCATGAACTACGTACGAGCACAACTTACCGTTCGCGTCTCTGCATTTCAAGCGAAAGTAGATGGCTCGCAAAACTTGAATCATTTTCGAAAGTTCCTCCGGCTTTAATTTCTTTCCAACTATTATGTATTCTTGTCGAAAGCCAGATTCGACTGTGTTTGGAGCGCCAAATGTCTCGATTTAACTTTCTAATGTCAATGGCCGCCTGAGAAGTTCCGGCCTTTGGTCTTCCCCGTCGCTTCTCCATACAATAAAACTCCAAATAAATTCAATAGAGCAAAAATAGGTTCTCCAAATGGATAATTGATTATCAGTTAATGAAAAAAATAAGAAAAGAACGTTCGATGGTTTGTTTTTTAAAGGATTTTTCGAGATATGAACAACGATGATAATTCTCCTCGTCTCAAAGACTTTTGAATGGCCCGGACCACAAATTCCACGTGACATGCGCAGAAGCGTGAAACAGCCCCTTTAAGACACTTGACCTAATTTCAAAATACATCATGTGAGCAGGTACGAGGTAATCGATTTGCTTCTTACCTCATGAATAATTAATGAGTATGAGAATAGGTCTTAACAGACGGTGTTGAACAGGAATCGGCACTTATACGGCTTACGATTAACTAAAATGGCAGGAACACCAAAAAGCGTGTCCATACCGCCGCCATGTTATGATCAATAACATCAAATGCTATTCGAAAATCGAAGAGCACAACTCTAGTAGTAGCTCCGTTGCCGTCAGTATTAGTTAACCACGTGTGTATCATGCTGATAAGTGCTTGGACGGTAGATGATTTAGGATTAGCTCCAAATTGAAGACAATCAATCTTTGCCATTACGGCGGCGGGTTTCACAGAGCTTTCAACAACGAACTCTTCAGCAAACTTTGATAAAATTGGTGTGAGAGATATGGGACATAAGTGTTTGTTGACATCACTAATAGGGCATTGTTTTGGTACTGCTATTACGTCTGCTTTTTTTCCATGCGCTTGGAAGATGACACTTCAAAAAGGAACTTTTCAAAATCTCTGTGATAGGATCCGCATTCTCTTTTAAGAGCCATCCGGGTATTCCGTCTGATCCTTGGGCCTTTGTTGGATTTAAGGTGAAGAGTTTCTTCATGAATGAGGTGGGAGTGATCTTTTGGGTTGGTTCGGTGAGAGGAGTTGGGTCCTGATCAGGTAACGCTGGAAAATCTTTCATGGGTGCTAATATAAAAAGGTTATTTTGACCATGTTCGCAATGTCAACGTCGCTTGGTTTCTCTAGTTCGTCAAGGTTCTTTAAGACAATGATGATGTTATCATGTATTCTTGTAGATTTCTCTTTACCGCTGAGTTTTTGTACCTCCTTCCATCAATTGGGTGGTGAGAATTCTTTGAGGTTTTAACATTTTCATTGTAATATTTGGCTCAACATATTTTACGTTCATGGTTTACAGCATTTCTAAGGCAACGAAACTAGACTAGGTCACCAGTCCGTAAGGTAGATTGACGTTTCTTTATCAAAGATTTCAGACGGGGGTTGATCCATGGCGGTTAGCTGGTATGAACAGTTTTGGTCTTTATCGGTGCAATGAAGTCAAGCCTGTGTGTACAATGGTTTCCAGCATAGATGTTTTGTCTTCGCATKAATGAACTGAGGCAATTAATATGGTTGCCAACGTCAACTTGCTCGACATAAGATCGCATTGCAGGAGCACCAATTAACTAATCATATTGCAGCATTCAGCTGAAGTTTGAAATTACCGTGGGAACGCTGCAATTTTATTGGTCAATGCTGTTATCAATTCTATCATGTTTATTTTTTGCTGTCATATGATTGGCTCAGACACCTGAATTTGGAATGTTATTGTTTTCATACGTAAACGCGATTGGCTCGCTTTTTCTAAGTTGCCCCGGTTCCGATTGCCGCACTGCAAGTTAATATAATTTATTTACTACATCACTTATTTTTCCCGAACAGAACTCTGAGTAACTCCTTTTAATATCCTGTCTTTCCCAGTTTTCCAAAATGGCTAGCACGACTTTACGCTTTAAGAGCATCTATATTATTCAAAATATGCAAGTTCCGCAAGATTTAAAATAAATTTAACCTGAAAGGTCATATAAATGTCACATTCCGAAAATTACGCTGAACAGCCCTGAACATCTTTTAGTGTGCGTCTACCAGGAACGGCGTGTGTGATCAGCGTGAGATCAGCGATCTGGTGTTGATTTCCTTCATTTTCTATGATTGATCAGCTTGCTTTTCTTGGTCAAAAACCAGGTCACTTTAGCTGTTAGTCCTGTTAAGTGAAGGTAGATATTGCGATAAGGCCATGAGGCCGACTGATTCTATTGAATTCTATCTTTGTGTGTTTGAAAGATTTCTCACGACTAAGCGTGCGAAAGATTGAGAGATCGAGTGAAAAAGGGATTTTCAACACAAGAATATAATAAAAGGTATYCTCAAGAGACCATGTAATATTCTGTTTATCATATGAGTATCTATGAAAGTAACATTAATTGAAAATGATAGTTTTATTTTCTTCAACTATACTATGGAAATCCAACTAATCTGTTATTTCGCTAGAGAAATTGCAGCATTTCGAAAGAGAGAAAAATAGTTATTCCATGGAAAATTATATAAATAAGGATTTTTTTTCTTTGCGTACGTACTGAGTTACACAACACCACTTTTGTAATCATAAAAATAGCTTTCTTGGCACTCTTACCAGTATACTGACGACTTTCAAATATCATAATTAAATGATTTTAATCATTAATTATTAAAATAGTTGAGGTGACGGCACCCCTACTGAGGGGTAGGGAAAGTGTCGCAACATAACAAGGATCTAGTGAGAAATCGATGTCAAATAATTCCCGCTGAATTCAAATTCGGAAAGGGTTGCCAATTGTGAACGTTACCTTTTGCAAAAAGGAGTTAACTGGCCAAAGGACGTACTTGATCTAGGGAGTTAGTAAACTCATTTTTAGTTCTCCAGCGCGTGATGTGCGTGAAAAATACAAATAAATGTATTGAGAACTAAAAATAAATTGACTCGCTCTCTGGATAAAGTACATCCTTCACGTTTGGCCAGTTAACTCCTTTTTGTAGTATCTAACGTTTGCAATCGATAATTCTTCCCAAATTTGAATTCAGCGAAAATTGTTTGATATCGATTTCACAATCTATCCTTATTATTTTACTTTACCTACGCGTCCAAGATGGACGCCAAAACCGTCACCTCTGATAAAATGATAGTTACGAATTCATTTATTGTTTAAAAAAAATAGGGAGCACGTCAAAAGGTACTCAAACTTTATCAATATGCAAATAAATTAGCAGAACTTTTCTTTTCGAGTCTGATGATTCGAATAGATATAGTAAAGAAGTTGTACTATAAGAAAAGCAATGAATGTTTCATGCTCTTTTGTTTTTTAAATTCTCACTAGGATTGCAGTAAGTGAATTAAAAAAATGGAGTTTCCAGGCTGCACCGTTATATTAATTAACTCTTTATCAAGTTGTGTGATACAGAAAATTATTTTCTTTGCGACCCTGTTTAAGACACTAAAAAGTAAAAATCCATACCCTGTTCAAGACAAATCGGAAAAATGAGGAATAGCTATCTACGCCGCAACCATCAAAACTGCAAATATACTGACATCCATCAAAGACAATAAGAAGTTTTTGATAACACGTTAATTCTGGGACAGTGAAACGGTATTTCTACTATTTCTACGGTGTTATGAAAATATTACCTGTCCAAGACACACAAAAAAATTATATCGGTCTCTTTTATCTAAATTGTAGAGCCTGTTTAAGACAATTTCGGGTGAAATGTATACCCTGTTTAAGACAGCAAGGCCAAAAACCATACCCTGGCCAGCGGCACGTCCCCGTATAGCAAATATATGGGAGTACCCCCCCGGG